CCACGAGCCCCAGCACACACCACAACTCCCAGTTACTCCTCCAGCTAAGCCTGCCCTGAGATCACCCTGTGATGCCACCTCCAGTGCCAGGCTGTGTCTCAGTCACCCTGCCCAAGCTCTGATATCTCATTTTTAGGTTTCCCAAGCAGCACTGACAACAAATCTGTCCAATATATGAAATATAAAGTCCTCAGCAGCAGACTGAACACTTAAGGCAGCCAAGAACATCCATGAGGTAATTGCTGAAAAATATTTAACACATCTATTAATTATTGTGGAATCCTGTTCCACTGAGCTAATCCCCTCTTTAATTAGTTTCCTACATGTATTTCATAATTCATGTAATTCTATCTGCGGACTCACAGGCTTCTTATAAATGCCATTCCTCGGCTTTGATGGAGCTCCAGCCCATCCTTTCTTATTTCCCATAGGAAGGTGTTACTTCCCTGATGCCAGGTCTGATATTTGGGGTCCAAGGATGGGGTCCCTGGAAGCTGGCTGTGTCATTCCTCCCTTCACTCAGACAAAGCCTTGTGGAGTTGTGTAGTTTTATCTTTTTTTTTGTTAGGGTTGGGATTAAATGTGTGAGATGGTATTTTTTGTTTGGATTCAGAAGTTTATTAGTTTTTATCTATATTATAGTTTCACAAACCATGAGTTTTATAGTGTTTTAATAAACTAAAAAATGAAGCTGTATTTTTTTTCTCTATAAAGTTTTTTAAGGATAAACTATTTGCCTTTATTAAGGCAACAACCCCAGGTCTCCCAGCCCTGCTGACCTCAGGGGAACGTGGCTGCTCTCCCACAGCCCAGGAACCTCTGAGCGAGGGAAAAGCAGAGCAGGAGGAGCCACCCCTTCCAAACCCAGCACCAGGAGCAGCCAGCAGGGACCAGCCCCAGGGATGCAGAGACCCCAAACACCTCCCAAAACTGCTTCTCCTGAGAGCAGCTCCTTCCCTGCAGGGCTCTGGAACACTGAGCCATCACCTCTTCAGGCACTCACACAGCCACAGGGATTCTCCTGATGCAGGACTCGTCTCCTCGCTCCATCCCAGTGCTCAAAACTAACAAATGAGTTCACCAACTCAACAGAACATGAACGACTGCCTGTGAGATCCTGCTGAATGCCTGTCACGCCTTCCATGAGCCCTGCAGTGCTTCTCAAACTAAATTTGAGAGCCTCAGCCCTGACATATGGAAGTGAAACCTGTTAAAAGCCACCCCAGCTATGGGGTTTTACCCTGGGAAACAAAATAAGGCCCTGGTGACTACAGGAACGCTTGACTAGCACATGAAATGTGAGCAGCAGGTGAGCAATGTGAAACAGTCACCATTAATGAGTATCAAACCTGCAAAACCAAATGCCTGGGTGCCATTGATAGAGTTTTTAATGAAAACCAGCGACAGCAGCGTCAGCACTCGGTGAAGGCAGCCTCCCCCACGCCGTGCATGCCCAGGGCAGCCGAGTCCGTGGCACAGGTGTGGGCAGGAACCTGCCCAGACAGCACAGCCAGCACCGCAGCCCTCACCTGGCCAAGGGTCACTGCCAGCTCCCCACCCACACCCAGCGCTGCCCACATTCCTCCGGAGCTGGCCCCGGCAGCACAGGGCACCCCGAGCTGTTTATCCTGCTCAGCGTTGCTCCACATTCCGCTGGGGATTTGGAGCTGTGCGGCTGACACATGCAAACAGGGAATGCCAATAATCCCCCCAACGACATAAAAACCCCATTGATTCACCTGAAATGGCAACCAGAGGACAAGGTCGGCTGGGAGGTTGTTCCCTCTTTAATAGCAAAACAAACCCATTAAAAATCTCCTCCTTGGGCTTTTATAGCTGGCACACCTGCCCTGGGCTGCGTGGGCTCCAAGGAAAACAATCACCCTGCTAAGGGAGTTCTTGGAAAGGAGACCACCAAGACATAAACTCAGATAGCAACTTTATACCGTCAGTACCAGCACAGACTTCCAACTTACACTCTCAACATAAGAACTGATTTTCCAATGAAATCTCCACTGAAAGCAGAAGGAAGTTTGTGCATTGATTTCTGCTAGAGAAGCAGTGCGGTGACATTTGCATGCTGAGCTCAAGGCCAGCTGCTGCTGCAGGGCACTTCCCTGTCTGGGCACGGATTTGTCGCTACCTAACCCAGTTAAAAACCCTCCAGACTCCCACAGCTGGAAACCGCTGGCTGCTGTAGCGACAGGGCTGCTGTGATTGTTAAATCAAACCCTGGGGAGGCAGCGAGGTGCTGGAGAGGCACTCTGAACCTTCTCAGGAGGGAGAGAAGGCGAGAAGCTGAGCAGGGACCTCCGCGGTAACAGAGAGGAAACGAAAGCCGCCGCGGCGCGGACAAGCAGCGCCCGGGGAGGGGCTCGGGACCACCGGGGACCCCCGGGCGGGCGAGCAGAGCCCCGGCTGCGGCTCGGACCGAGCCTTCACCGGTGCCCTCGAGGCTTCACCCCCGACGGGCCCCGCGGAGCCCGGGAAAGGGCTCGGGACCACCGGGACCCCCGGGCGGGCGAGCAGAGCCGCGGCCCCGGCTCGGACCGAGCCTTCACCCCTCAGCACCCGCGGCCGCCGCTCCCCGCGAGGCTTCGCCGCGATCGGCCCCGCGACCCCCGGGGACCCACGGGGACCCCCGGCGCGGCTGCGACCCCCGGGCGGGCGAGCAGAGCCGCGGCTCCGGCTCGGACCGAGCCTTCACCGCCGAGCGGCCGCGGCTCTCCCCGAGGCTTCGCCCCCGACCGGCCCCGCAGCCCCCGCGCCCCGTCCGCTGCCGCCCCATCCCGGCCCCGGCCCCGCCGCCCACCTGCCCACGGTCTGGTTGGCCAGCTGCTTCATGCGGTTGAATTGCTTCTTCATGGCGGCGGCCGCTGCCCCGGGCTGCCCGGACCCCGCCGCTCTGCCCCGGCCCAGCCCGGCGCGGCCCGGCCCGGCCCCGCCGCTTCCGGCCCGGCCCCTTCCCGGCCCCGCTGCCCGGCCCGGATGTCCCGCCCGCAGCCCGGGCGGGGCCGCGGCTCCTCCTGCCCCGCGGCTGGCAGCGGCGGGCGGACAGAGCCGCTGGTAGTAAAGGGTTTTAAAATCATGGGGGTTTAGGAAAATTAAGCTTAGTAAACCCTGGGAAAAACAGAACTGCGCCTGTATAGTAGTACGTGATAAATGATAAAATTGTTAGATGTGATGATTAGTTAGTAATTAAATATAATTAGTGTTTAATCGTAAGAATAATCATGAGAAACTGTGGTCAGCGGCTTGAGACAGATCACGAGAAATTCATGCTTGAATAAAGTCAATGTATGCAATAGAACAATATAAGTTTAATAATTTGTAAGTTATATAACGATAGAATATAAAATACGTTTGGCTCGCAAGCCATGTCGGAGTCAGATTTGGGTGTGTACCCCTGATTCCCAGAGCTCTCAATAAAAATATCTGCAGATAATCATATTCTGTGATTATGTGTGCTCCTGAACGCTAACACCGGACAGCCGCAAGCCCGCTCCGGACTACAGCTCCCGGCTCGCCTTGCGCCGCCGCCGCTTCCTGGGCGAGGCGCTGCACACCGCGCGCTTTCATTGGGCGCTGCGCACATCCATAAGCGCACGAACCAATGGCCGCCGAGCTCCGGCGGGGGCTGCCCAATGAGAGGCGGCGGGGGGCGGGCCGCAGCAGCGGCGGCGGCAGCGGCCGGGCCCCGCGCGCTCCATGGCGGCCGCCGGCGGCCCCGACGAGGCGGACGAGGCGGTGCGGGGAACGTGCGAGGACGCGTCCGTCTGCAAACGGTACCGGGCCGGGGCAGCGGCTGGGCAGCGCCCGCCGCTGTTCCCCGTGGCGGGGCTGGGCAGCGCGCAGGGGCTCGGGCGGCTCCGGGAGCGGCCCCGGCCTGTCCCGGTGCCGGCGCTCCGTGCGTGCGGCCCGGGCCGCAGCGGGCGGGGTCGCGCCGGGAGCTGATCCCGGAGTGCGCGGGGGAGCCCCGGGGAGGAGGGGTGAGGAGGAGGAGCAGGAGGCGCTCCCAGCGCGGCTCGGGACCCGCGGTGTGCCTCAGGGCTGCCGCTCCTGCCGCCGAGCCGCGCCCGGGGCTCGCTCCGGGGCACCGAGCGTGCGGAGCGGTGTGCGGGTCAGCGGACAGCCAGCCCCATGGTTTTCCATTGCCTTCCTTCTCCCCTCCGGCATGGGCACCGGGCGCGATGAGCGTGGTTCCCTATTGTGTTTGGCTGTGAATGCCCGTCCATCTCAAACCGAGCTCTGTCAGTGCTGCCAGTCCGGCTGGCCTGGCTGTGAATGCCCATCCATCTCAAACCGAGCTCTGTCGGTGAATGCCCGTTCATCTCAAATCGAGCTTTGCCACTGCTGCTGCTCGGGCTGCTCTGTCAGTGAATGCCCGTCCATCCCAAACCGAGCTCTGCCATGCTGCTGCTCGGGCTGGCCTGGCTGTGAATGCCCATCCATCCCAAACCGACCTCTGCCATGCTGCTGCTTGGGCTGGCCTTGCAGCACATCCTTGGGTGCAGGCTTTGCCTTCGGGAAGCAGCTGTAAAACTCACGAGTTCTGTTAAAGCAGAGCAGCGCGGTGCTAAACCGCTGTGAAGGAGCTCTGGGATCAGGGCGAGCACCTTGTCCTAGAAGTAAAGGCTCATCCGTGTGCCTGAGGGGCTGCAGGCAGACAGTTCATCTTCTGGGTCCCCCAGGAGGGGCTTTTTGAGATTTGGGTCTTCGATCACAAAATTTCATGTGGCAACAAAGAGGCCATTAAAGGGATGCTTATTGAATATGGCAACAGCTAAAACTGCTGGGTTTTCTAACTAAATTTTTAACTAATTTCTAACCAAACTTTATATAATCTCTTAATTCAACTAGTTCCACACATAGAACAGATTTTTAAACCACGTCTGCACATGCACACCCAGGCCAGAGGGACCTTTCCAGCCTGTGTATCTTTTAGGGTAAATTTTGGGGGCCTTATTTCATAATTCTGTCTCTTCCCTGATGCTGCCCAGGTTTGCTGTGAGTGTTGGCTACTGGAAGGACCCCTACATCCAGTATTTTGTGAGACAAGCCAAAGAAAGGAAGGCGCCTGAGATCAACAGAGGCAAGTTGGAACGGGGATGGGGACACCACACCTGTCCTGGCAGAATCCCTGCACCCTGGGAGTTGGGGGGCAGGGAACATGTGAAACAGTGAGACAAGGTTTCTTCACGGCAGTAACTCCATGCTGTATCTGATCTTTTAAATATCGATCTGTGAGTCAAAACTCTCTTCCTTTGCTTTCTGAGTTCTGAATGGGCTGTGCCAGTGCAAAGATCTCCTCAAAGCAGTCAGAAATGTTAGTTTGACCCAGGACAGTTGGCTCTCTGCAAGTGTAGAATTATTCTGCTCTGATTGAGGTGGAACTTGACTAAAACTTTTGTTTGCCCAAAGGGTTGGGTTTTATAAGTGCATGGGGCTTTGTAATTAAAAAAGACAAACAAAAGCCCTAAGGTACCTAAAAAAGAGGGCATTATTCTTCCTCCAGACTGCCTAGGGATCTTCATGAGAATTCAACACGGAGAGCTGTGTGCCAGGGGTGACTCCCAGCTCTGTGTGTGCTGCAGGTTACTATGCTCGTGTGCACGGGGTCAGTTACCTGATCAAGGCTTTCCTGGAGAAGACAGAATGCAACTGTCAGATTGTGAATCTTGGGGCTGGCATGGACACCCTGTTCTGGAGGCTGAAGGTAACGAGGCTGCAGGGCCTGGCCGGGCTGGGGGACCCCTGAGGGGCTGGGGGGCTCCTGAGGAGCTGGGGAGCTCCTGAGGGGCTGGGGAGCCCTGAGGGGCTGCTCTGGGCTCTGCAGGCTGGCTCTGTCCCCCAGGGCAGCACAGCAGCAGCTCTCACACACTCCCACCAGAGCTGGGGTGGGAAGGGACCTCTGGTGACCACCCAGTCCAGCCCCCTGCCCAGGCAGGGTCACCCAGAGCAGGTGACACAGGAACGTGCCCGGGTGGGTTTGGGATGTCTCCTGAGGGAGACTCCACACCCTCCCTGGGCAGCTGTTCAGGGCTCTGCCACCCTCACTGCAAAGAGCTTCTTCCTCACGTCAACATGGAACTTGCTGTGTTTTAGTTCCTGGGCACTGCTCCCCATCCTGTCACTGAACAGAGTCTGGCACCATCCTCTGACACACCTGGGAGGGATTTTATGGATTGATGGGATCTCCTCTCAGCCTTCCCTTCTCCAGACTGACCAGGCCCAGCTCCTGCAGTCTCTCCTCAATACAGAGATGCTCCAGACCCCAAACCATCTCTGTGGCCTCTGCTGGACCCTCTCCAGCAGCTCCTTGTCTTTCCTGGGGATCAGGACTGGACCCTGCAGCTCTCCAGGGATGGGTGCAGGGGCAGGATCACTCCCTCTCCTGCTGCCACACTTTCCCCACATCCCTGGGATTCCAGTTGTGAGTTTATTTATGTAAGTCATAGAATCACAGAGTGGTTTGGATTGGAATGGATCTGGAAAACCATCCAGTGCCACTTCTGCCATGTCAGGGACACCTTCCTCTGTCCCAGGCTGTCCAAGCCCTGTCCAGCCTGGCCTTGGGCACTGCCAGGGATCCAGGGGCAGCCACAGCTGCTCTGGGCACCCTGTTCCATATATAGGAGTGTTTGTGTGTGTGTAATTCATGGAAACGAACTTATTCAGGTGTTGTGTGATGGTATGATTCTGGGTGAACACGCCTCTGAGTGAATTGTCTTCTCATTAGCATTTACTTTGGTAAATTGAGTTCTGGAGGGAAGCTTGAGGAACATTTTGCTTGGTCACAGTTTATTGTATTCATTTAATCAGTGCAAAAGAGACAATTCCGTTTTTTTTTTTTTTTTTTTTTTTCCTGAGTTGTGAAGTTTTTCTCTTACCTGCATTTCTATAAAAGCTCTGCCAATATAATGTTTTGGTAACAGTGATTTTAAAAGCTGAAGTGGGGCCTGTAATTCCAGTTCTTTGTCCTTGCAGAGAGCAGGTGTGCTGTAATGAATGTGCAGAAGCTGGGAGGCAGTTACTGGAGTGCTCTGAGTGCTGGTTTCATCTCAGAAAGGCACGGGTTGAGAGCCAGCACGGGCAGCAGCATCCATCACAAAGGGACTGCTGCGAGGGGAGACTTGGCACAGCTTCTCCAGCAGGCTGGGAAACGGTGCCAGCGTGGAATGAAGAGCTTTCCCCTCTTTTGTAGTGCTGGCAGGCTGGCTGTGCTCTGGCTGTGGCTGGAGGAGGGCTGGAACGTGGTCACTGTCTGGGTGAGCCTGTGCAAACCCTCCCTGCTCCTTCCCTGGAGGGCTGAAAGTCCTGCTGGATGCTGTGGCAGCTTGCTGTGCTGTGCTCTCCCCCAAACACGTGGCTGCAGTGTGTGTGTCACTGATCCCTTCTGGGGTTAGAGTCCTTCTCCTCTCGGGTGACACCCAACCCACCTGGGCACGTCCCTGTCACCTGCTCTGGGTGACCCTGCTGGGCCGGGCTTGGGGTGGTGATCACCAGGGCTCCTTCCAACCCAGCTGTCCTGGGCTTCTGTGATTACACAAAGTGTTCAGTAGTTCCTTCCGTTCTCAGAGGGCATTCTAGCATCTCTCAGCTGGTTTGTGTTGGATTTGAGGGGTTTAAGCTGTGGAACACTGTTACACCACTGGTACAAATGGCAGTGTAAACCAAAGCACAACCGCTCAGGATTTTGCTTCTGTCTTGCCCTGTGCATGTGAAACTTGAGTGTCCCTAATTCTAGTGTCTTCCTGCAATTCCCAGGATGAAAACCTTCTCCCTAGGAAATATTTTGAAGTGGATTTTCCAATGATCGTTGCAAGAAAAATCCATAATATCAAGTAAGTGTGAGGCCTGTGTTCAGCTGTGGAGACTGGCTGCCAGTCATTTCATCTCTGCTGAGAAACTCTTCGTGTTCTGGGATGTGAGGGTGGGCAGGCCCTGGCACAGGGTGCCCAGAGCAGCTGGGGCTGTCCCTGGATCCCTGCCAGGTTGGACAGGGCTTGGACAGCCTGGGACAGTGGGAGGTGTCCCTGCCATGGCAGGGGTGGCACTGGAGGGGCTTTGGGGTTATTTCCCAAGCTGTGCCAGGATTGTGTAAAGCAGAGTAAAGGCTCATCGTGCAGGCAGGCTCTGTCCCAGGCTGCAGAAGGGGATGTGTGAAAGCTTTAGGGAGCCAAGCAGAGCTTGCTGTGTGGCAGGGACAGTGTCCTGACAATTAGAGGTGATGAAATCTTCTCTTGCTGTTGAGGACAGCACTGAATTCCCAGATGTGCCTGTTCACTTGGAGGCAGGACAGCTGCTGCTGCGTGGGAATGTCCTGTTGGAATGAATCCACCAAGGGTTATTGAGGACATGTTACACAGTGCATGGATTTCACTTGAAAGATTCGCTCAGAATTAAAGAAATTGTGTATAAAACTCAGCTCCGACTTCACCAGACTTGCAAAGGTTTTCCTTTCCAGCAGAGGGCAGAGATATTCCCTCAGCTGCTTTTGACACACACAGACACACACACACATATATATATATGTTAAGAAAAAAGCTGTAAGCACACTGTTCAACAGGCTTAACTGCTCTGAGATGCTTCTTCCTTCTTCCCACAGATCAAAACCTCCCCTGTCAAAACCAATTATGGAATCCCATTCAGGGGACTCTCTTCTAATAGGTGAGTCATCTTCAAACTCAGTCAGTGATGTACTGCAGCACTTTTAAAACTTTTCTGATCATTTTGTTCTGCTATGTGGGCAGGCTTTTAATGTTTGAAATGCTGTTTGGACAGAGAATTGGGAGGGAAAAGAGGCTTTTTTCTTCTCTTACAGACTCCTGCCCATTTGTTCTGTGTCATGTTAGAAATGTCTTCTCTTTAAGTGGTTTTATTCTGGCAGAAAGTTGTTGGGTTTTTTCTTTTTCTCTCATATGTAGCTCCTTTTCTGTCACAGGAAAGGAAAAAGTGCTACAGAGAGGCATGGATACTGGATTAAAATATCTGTTGAGTGTTTATCTGCTTTCTGTCTCATTAAGAGCACAAATCTTTCCATTTAGCAGAGTTTTCACAGCAGAAACACAGCCTGCACAGTCCAGGCTCATGAGCCAGTGCTGTTTGTTACGTTTTAGCATTAAAAGGACAATCATTTCAGGTGGTGTGATGTGGCACTGCTCTCTTGGTTTCTAAGCTCATCAGGGAACAGAAGGATGTGGCTCCCCATCCCTGGCAGTGCCCAGGGCCAGGCTGGCCATGGCTTGGAGCAGCCTGGGGCAGGGGAAGGTGTCCTTGCCCATGGCAGGGGTGGCACTGGGTGATCTCTAAGGTCCCTCCCAGCCCAAGGCATTCTGTAATAGTGTGTTTGTGTCAGAACTGTACTTGAAAACTTTTTTACCTGTGGAAGATTCCCTGGGTTCCACTGAGTTCATGTTCTCAGTGCAGGTGCTGAGCTGTAGCAGCTGCCTGGGACGATTCAGGGGCAGCAGTTCCCTGCAGCCGCCCCAGCAGTGGCTCTGTGTGAGCAGGGGGACCCTGGCAGAGCTGCAGTGCCTGCTGCTCCCTGCTCTGACCACCTGTGGCCCTGCCCTGGGCACAGCTCTAGCCCAGGCTCTGGGCCCATTCTGCAGATTTTATTCTGCTCATTATTGGTCTTCCCTTCCCGGCCCTGCAGATTCCTCCCCTGGACCCTCAGCCCTCCAAAGATGAAGGTCCAGAGCCCCAGAGCAGAAGGGCTCCTGGGGACCCCTGGCTTGCAGGCAGGGGGCACATCTGGCCCCAGGGAGATCTGCTGCACCTTCACGGTCCAGAGGCAGCCCTGGGTCCGTGCCAGGGGCTGGGTTTGTGTTCCTGAAGAGCTGCAGGTGCATCTGGAACTGCAGAACACCTGCAGAGCTGTCAGCCTGCACTGCTCTCACCTGGGGCTGTTAACAGCCACTTCCCCCTGCCCTGGGCTGTGCTGCTGGGACTGGTTTCTCTGGAGCTGCTTCTCTGCTCCCTTCTCGGGCTGGCTCTTGGAGCTTCAGAGTCACAGGCAGCTGCAGGCTCTGCTGCACTGGGATCTTTGGGATGCAGCAGCATCCAGGACTGGGGAGATGTGGAGGTGCTGTGGAGCTCCAGGTTGAGCTGACTGAGATCTTTGGGATGCAGCAGCGTCCAGGACCGGGGAGATGTGGAGGTGCTGTGGAGCTCCAGGTTGAGCTGACCCCAGCCACAGGCCAGAGCCCTGAGAACTCTGGTTTATGATCAGTTAGGGGAAGTGGCAGCAGGAGAGGTGCTGGAATAAGTGGATAAATCAAACAGATGAGCAGAGAGTTCTTACAGGTCTGAAGGGACATGGCAAGGAATTGACTCAGCTGCTGGCTGGTCTGTGCCTCTCATTTAAAGCTGAGAAGGTTGTGGCTGTGCCTCAGATGGGCTCAGGGCAAGTCCAGGGGACCCCAAGGCAGCAGGACTGATGTCTCTAGTGAGCAGCTCACAGGAACTCCAGCAGACAGGCTTAGTGGAACCCAGGAATCCTAGGATGTGCTGAGAAAGAATCCCCGTGGCTTTTGGAAAGGTGAGTTCTGCTTCCCAGCTCTGTTGGAGTTCTCTGAGTCAACTCAGCTATTGGAAAAGGACATCAGCACAGTGCCTGGATTTCAAGAACGTGTTCTTGTCTGTGTCCCATGCCAAAGTGTGCCAAAGAAGTGGCACAGTGGTTGTGGGGAAAGAATGGCTCTCATATGGATGAGGAGCTGGGATGGAGGGCGAGCATATGTTGTTCATTTTTGTTATGGAGGAGATGGAGATCTGTGCTTGAGGGTATGTTGTTGTTCAACACTAAGAAAAAATTGGGAAAATAGTGATTAGTAAGTGGCAGCTTGTTGGCAAATCCAAACTCCGAAGAGTGGTAAAGAACTGCAGAAGTATCTTGTGAAATTAGTGACTTGATGATGATTTCAATGTGGATTAATAGAAAGTGATGCACATGGGGGGGAAAACAGTTTGTGCCTCACATGTAAATGATTATTGCTGCCTTCCTGCAGGATCTGGGTATTAGAATAAATAGATGGATGAAAGCATGAGCTCAGTAATGGTCCAGAAATACAAAGCAATTTTAAGTACTTTTGAGAAAAAGCTAGAAAACCACTTAGGTGCCAGTGTTAGTGGATGTTTCTTCTCTTTGAGTTCTCCCCTTGGAGCTGCTGCTGGCCTCTGGAAGGCTGGGTATCATCCTAGGGAGGCCTCTGGTCTGACCTGGTGCAGGTGTTAGACCCTGCAGTGTTCTGGGATCCCCACCTGGCACGGGGCAGCATTGCCAGGCAGGGAAATGTTACTCATTTCTGTGGGCATGTGAGCCAGGATTTTGGAATCCTGTCCCTCCCTGTGCCTGCCTCCCCACATCAGCCACCCTCCTGTCTCTGGTCCACCAGGGATGATTTGTTTAGGTTTGGAGTTTTGGGTTGAGTTGTGCCAGTGTGGGTTGGCACCATTCAGGTTCTCTCTGTGCTGTTCTGCTGCCCCTGAGTGTTGTCGTGTCCCGCTCACACCTTCTGCCCCGGCTGGGCCAGCTTGGGCACAGCTTCCCTCCCTCCCCAGACCTCCTTTCCCCAGGGTGGGTGTCAGGGGGATTGCAGGGCTGAGCCTGGCCTTCCAGGAGAGGCTGAGAGTGTGGCAGTGCTGCTGGGCTGGGGGAGAGCAGCGTGCAGAGCAGGCTGCTGCTTTGTAAAGCCGCCAGAGATAACCTTGGCATGAAAACCCTAATGAAATCTCTTGGAGTCAATAGTATCCTGCATGCTGTCTCTTGGAAAACCTCCAGGAAATTGTTGCACTAATGTGAGAGGAGAGGAAGAGAAGGAGGCTGAGTTGCTGTGGCAGAGGGAGAGCTCGGGGTGCTGGAGCTGCAGTGCTGCCCCAGGGCACAGCACAGCAGCACTTCTGACACAGCTGGGAGGGAAAGATTCAGCCTGCTCAGGTCAGAAGGCAGCTGTTAGCAGCTCCTGCTACTACTCGGTTACTACAGGCTCATCTTGTTCTATGCCTGTGGAATCTGAAGCACTTGTGCTGGCAGCTGTGTGCCAGAGTCATGGCAAATAACCACACAGCTGTGTGCCAGAGTCATGGCAAATAACCACACAGGTTTGTGCCAGAGCAGAGCACTCTCTGCTGATTGTCCCTGGAGAGCCGAACCTGTGCCCAGGCCAGGACAGTCTGGCTGGGGTAGGTGGGATGGGGAGGCTCATCTTTCCGCCTTCTCCATCCCCTCCCTTGTATTTCTCAAATTAAATCTGAGCTTGGGGGTTTCCCAAGCCTTCATTCAGCCAGTACAGAGAGAATCATTGTAGATGGCTGAGTGTGAGCATCACACAGATCCCCAGGGCAGCTCTAGAGGACACCCAACCAACCAGACTCACTAAAAACAGCACGAGGTGGTGGTGCCACACGCAAGGAATTAGTGCCTGGAATCTGGGATTTGCAGTGGTTTAAGCCACCAAATGTCCCTGGCTGTGGCAGCTTAGGGCAGCTGGCCTGTGTCACAGCCCTGCAGCAGGAATGAGCAGAGGGGTTTGCACATACACACCAAATCCATTCAGTTAAAACCAGCTCCTGTTCCTCAGAAGGAATCAATGGGCACACGTGACCATGCTGCCAAGCTGGAACTCTGTTTTCCTTTTCCAGCTGCCCTGAGGATGGGCAGGAATTGTAAAATCCATCTGCAGCAAGGCTGCTCAGTCTCGGGCAGCAGATTGCTCCCTTCATACCTCACAGAATATCCCGAGTGGGAAGGGACCCTCAGGGCACATCCCAGTGCAGCCCTGGCCCTGCACAGCACAGCCCCAAGAGCCTCCAGCTCTGCAGGAAGGCAGGAGCTGGTGCCAGACTGGCCCAGCAGCTTTTGGGATGTTTGTGGATGGATTTGTGGCCTCCAGGCTGGGGGCAGTGGCAGTTGTCCCCAGCTGCCACTGTCCTGCCATCAGTGTGTGTTGGTTCCCTCAGGGGGAGGTGATGGAGCAGTTGAAGTTTGCCTGGTTAGGTGTGATCAGACTGAAAAGGGGAAATTTAGGTGAGATACTGAGAATTCCTTCCCTGGGAGGGTGGGGAGGCCCTGGCACAGATTCCCAGAGAAGTGTGGATCCCTGGAAGTGCTCAAGGCCAGGCTGGAGCAGCCTGGGATGGTGGAAGGTGTCCCTGCCCATGGCAGGGGTGGCACTGGATGGTCTCCATGGTCCCTCCCAACCCAAAGCAGTTCAGGGTTTTATGATAAAAATGCTGAAATCGGTGCGGTATGAGCAAGACACGTTTACTTCCACCTTGGAGTGGTTGTGCTCCTTGTCTCCTGGATCACTTTAAAAGTTTTGTGGTTTATTTCTGGCTTGTATTTCTGCTCCTTATTGATGTATTTGTGTGACCCAGCCTCCGAAGCTGGACAGGGAGTTGGCATTCATTCCCTACTAATTGTGGTGGCTGACGCTCGCTGTGCCGTATCCATGGACAGAAACCAGTCCCTATTTAAACACTTCCCTGTGTGTGGTGGGGTTTTTGGGTGGCTTTTTTTGATGCCATTATCATGGCCTTGATGTAATCACTTAAATAGAAGGGTGTGGGAAGTAGTAAAGCTATTACAGAACATGCACATGGAAAAAGCCTTGACTCAAAATGTTGAATCATTCAACATGCCGCACAACTTTTTTTTTTCTCTTTTCTTCCCTTGTAACTCTCTTTCTGAACTGTTTCTGATTCCTGGATCTGTTCCTGAGTGTTGCTGGAATGGCAGCTACTTTCCTTGCTCTTGAAAACTGAACAGAGGTGCATCCTCTGGGGTGTTTGATCACTGCTTGATGGAATAAATGGAAAACCCACACTTGTCCCCAGTTGTTTTGTTCCCCTCTCCTGAAATGGAAACCCCTGAAATGGAATCCTGCTCCTTCAGCCACTTCTCTGCTCACTCCAGCTGTGCCAGGGGAGGCTCGGGTTGGACATCAGGAGGAATTTCTCCATGGAAAGGGTGGCCAGGCTCTGGAAAGACCTGCCCAGGGAGCTCTGGAATCCCTTCCAGAGCCATCCCAGTATTCCTGCAGAACTCTGGCTCTGGGTGGGTTTGATGGAGCACTTGGGAAGTGCCTCCTGTGGGCTACTCTGGTGCACTCAGTGCTGCTGGGGGTCAGAATCACTGATGGCAGGAGGCTCTGCTGCTTCCTCCCAGCTGAGCCAGGATGGCAGGGGCTCCTTGGACTCTGCCATTTGTCCCTCCTTTGTGCTGGGGAGCATCAACAGGATCCTGTTGTGTCCCAGGGGAATAGCAACAAAATCAGAATACCTTTGGTAATTTGACTCTTTCCTTAAATACCACCACTAAATCATACCAAAAGGTTAAATGATAACTTTTTTTTGGCCCCAAGTCTATGGCTGCTCCCCATACTTATTATATAACTACATATACAGTTAATTTATATAACTATATCTGTTGTTAATATTTGAAATATTGCCACTTAGCTTCGTTTTTCAGACATCGATGGACTTTTATGCAGTTCCTATGTACATCCATGGGGCCATCTAAGAAGACTCTCCAAACAAAACAAAAATCCTGCCTTTAATCTTGCCATTTTTCTTCTCTCTGCATTCCTGGAAACCATGGTAACAGCTGGGCTAACCTCTCTGCTTCAGCGTGGCTGCAGAGGGAGGGGAGGCTCAGCACAGGGTCTGCTGCTGATGGAGCGCTGGGAAGCACAGCCAGGAGGGGATTCATGTTTTAAAAAGAGGAGTTTGCTGCTCACAGTTTGCCATCACAGACCAAACTTGGGCTCCCAATTGAAGAGCTCCCGTGCAGCGTTTTTGATTCACAGCTCCACATCCCTCTCACATCCCTGTAACGCTCCTCTCTCCCACTTTGCCTTGCAGATTCCCACAGCCTGGACTCCAGTCGCTACTCCATAGTGGGAGCAGACCTGCGCTTCTCCTCAGAGCTGGAGGAAAAGCTAAGGAAGCACAGCTTGGATGTGCAGTAAGGGCACAGAGCTTTAGTTGGCTCTTTGTGGGGTTTTCATGGAGCTTGTGGAAGCCCTTGTCCTGGGCCAGGCCGGACTGGGCTGGGCTGGGAGCTGGGGCAGTGGGAGGTGTCCCTGCCATGGCAGGGTGGCACTGCATGGTCTCTGTCATCCCTCCCAACCCAAACCATTCCAGGGTTCTGTCATCTCAGAGTTTTATCTCTCTAATTATTTTCTGTGGCCTCCTCTTAAACCCTTTTTGTTCCCAAACCTTTTGGTGGGGCTGCAGAAGAATCCTTGGGATCCGAGTCCCAAAGCTTCTCCGGGGTTTTCTGGTTCAACACGAGGCTTTGGGGGGGCAGGAGTTGAGTTTTTGAGTGGATGATGGACAGACCTTTCAGATGGAAGCAATATAAATAGCAGCGATCTGGCTGGGTGGGAGAGAGCATATGGGGAAGCAGAATGCATCAAATTGCCATTTAATTCTTTACACTTCCATCCTCTGAAATGTTGCCTTGCTTGCCTACATCGCTGCTCCTTGTGGAATTTCTCCTGCTTCTAGTGACTTTTTTCCCCCCTCTTTCATTCCAGCAATTAAAAGCAAACTCAATAATTGTGAAGAAAATCACTTGTGTAGATGTCTATTTTTGTTGATTTGTGGATGGAGGGGGAAGAGGCAACGTGCAAACTATAGATTACATTTTGTTAGATAATAATATGTGAAGATTGTTTTACAGATACTGAACAAATTTGTCTAATTAAAATTCTTCCTTGAACTTCATTTAAAGAGAAAACTTTTTTTTTTTTCTGTTTGTAATTAATGCCTGATTTCATTGATCTCTGCAAGAGTGTGAGCTGTGTGTACAGGGCACAGTTGTCCTGCAAAGGGAATTTTAACACACCCCAGTTCCTGCTGTCAGAGACCACTCACAGAATGCACAGTGTTCTGTGCTCAGGGCTGACTTTTGGGGAGATTGATCCCTAAAATCTCTGGTTCACAACCACAGGAGTCTCCTGTGGTTCATTAATTCCCAGCTGCCAGAAAGCCCAGTTTGATTCAATGTGATGAAGAGATTTCATTCAATCTTCAGTGTCTAGTTGGTAAAAGATGGAGTTCTTTCAGGAAATTGTGCAGACATGAAGTGACTTGCTTGCTCACAATCCTTAGCACATTTTTCTTATTCTTTTGCTGGAAATCGTGTTCTCCTTTCCTTTTGTTTTACAGTTTGCCAACGCTGCTGGTGGCCGAGTGTGTGCTGGTGTACATGACCCCCCAGCAGTCTGCAAACCTGCTCAAGTGGGCAGCAAACACCTTCCCCGTGGCCATGGTTATCAATTATGAGCAGGTAGAACCAAAGGGGCATTTTTAGACATGCATTGTTGTCATTAAAATTGCTCTCGTAGGTGGGAGTTGTTGAGGAATGAGAGTGGGCCCTGTCCTTTTGTAGAAACAGCAGTTTCTGCTGAATTTCTGTAGTAATGTGTTTTAACTTGTAGCTTGGTTAGCTCATTGTAGAGAAAATGCAGCTATTCTGAAAGACAATTTCTGGACTATGTTGAAGCAAAATAATTGAGACTTAATCTATACGTGGAAAAGACCATAAAATATTGATTTAGCTAAAGCAGAGGGAAAATAAATGATGCTGAGTGCTGGCTCTGGGTGTATAACATTACATAATTACCTCTGTGTTCTTTGGCAAAGTGGAGCAAAAATCACATCAGCATGAACTCTGTTTCTCCCTGTGGAAGTAAAGCACTGCCTCGGGGGAACTAGGTGGCTCCAGGAATTAGTGACAGGATTTTCCAAGCCTTAAATCACTTCTAGAGAGCTGAACCAAGGTGCTGAGAGCTGAGGCAGAGGCAGCAGTGCTGCCAGCCCCGTGTCCCTGGGGGCAGTGGCACTGTCCCCCTGGCACTGGGGTGCTCCTGGCGAGTGGGAGCTGCTGTGCCACTCACTGGCACCCTGTGCATTTGAGGTGTTGGCTGTGCCAGGCACATTCTCCTCTCTCAGGAGTTTTCGTAGAGGAGCACAGAGAGAAGAAAGAGAAAACAATTCCTATTTCTGCTCCTTGTTTTTCCTTTGTAGAATATGTTTGGTGAATTGTTTCCCTGGGGTGATGGCTGGGTTGGATTCTGGTGAGGATTGTTTGAGCCTGGTGGCCAATCCAACCCAATCCAATCCAATCCAACCCAATCCAATCCAATCCAATCCAACCCAATCCAATCCAACCCAATCCAACCCAACCCACCTGGGGCTGGGCTCTCAGAGAGGGTCACAAGTTGTGAGTTAGATGTGGTAGTTAGAAAAGTAGCTTTGCAGTTTTAGTATCTCCTTTAAATAGTATATTAATGTGTTATAGTATAGTTATAATAAGGAAATCATTCACCCTTCTGAGCTGGAGTCAGACACCAGCATTTCTCCCCCGCAGCTTCACCTGCATTTCCAAAGTGGGCAGGGGCAGGGTTCAGGCAGGCTCTGTGTGGGAAGGGGAAGGGGAGGGGAACACTCCTGTGTGCTCCTGTCCCCAGGGGAACACTCCTGTGTGCTCCTGTCCCCAGGTGAACATGCGGGACCGCTTTGGGCAGATCATGATCGAGAACCTGCAGCGCCGGCAGTGCAACCTGGCTGGGGTGGAGCTCTGCAGCTCCCTGGACTCCCAGGTGAGGGCACAGGGCTGGCACTGAGCTTTGTCAGCCTGGCTGTAGGACCAGGGCAGGCTGGGGCAGGTACTGAGCCCTTTGCTGGCCACATTACCCTGGAATCGGGGCACGCTTTGGTTTGAAAGGGACTGTGGAGCTCATCCAGTGCCACCCCTGCCATGGCAGGGACACCTCCCACTGTCCCAGGCTGTTCCAAGCCCTGTCCAGCCTGGCCTGGGACACTGCCAGGGATCCAGGGGCAGCCCCAGCTGCTCTGGGAACTCTATCCCAGCCCCTGTCACCCTCCCAGGTAACAATTCCTGCCCGATCTCCCATCCAGCCCTGCCCTCTGGCAGTGGAAGCCATTCCCTGTGCCCTGTCCCTCCATCCCTTGTAAACAGTCTCTCTTCAGGTCCTGGCAGGCCACGGTTAGGTGAGCGCAGAGCTTCTCTTTGATAGCTGAGTGTCAGTGGTTGCACAGAGCTCCTGCTCAGAGCCCAGCCCTGCCTGGCCCTGCAGAGATCAGCAGCACATGCTTAGGGATGAGGCTGGGAGCTCTGCAAGGACAGGTCAATCAGCTGCCCCGTGAGATGCTCAGGGGCAGAAGCTCTCCTCTGGGGCTTCCCCCGGAGTGCTGTGAGAGCTGTGCTGTTTGTTTTGCAGAGGGAGCGGCTGCTGGCCAGTGGCTGGGAGAACGCCCGTGCCATCGATATGATGAAGGTGTACAGCTTCCTGCCACAGGCTGACGTCAGGAGGTACCACTTGTGCACCCCAGCGTCACCCTCGGGTGCCATCCAAGCTCCTTCCCGTGCACTTGTACCCTGGTGTGAGACAGGAGGCTGCCCCAGTGCTGCCCAGGGGTCACAGCACTCCTGGACCTGCAGCTCTGCAGGATAAGGCTGCACTGCGGATCCAGGGCTGGAGTAGTCATGGCTGATTTGGGTGTGACAGAAGGCACCTCATGACAGAAATTTGGGAGATGCCACAGAAATGCTGTGTTGACTTTTTGCAGTCCCCAAGATGTTCCTTGTGAAGGTTTTGGCTGGGGTTAAACCATGACACGTTGAAATGATGAGGGGGAGACTGCTGGGTCTGCAGAGCTCAGAGCAGGGACTAAAGGCTGTTCAGCAGTCACTAATCTGCCTGGATTTTGTTCGTATTTCTGCATTAAATGCTGAACAGTGGGAAATTTTAAGGAGTAACTTCTAAGGGATATAATGTGAAATGTGAATTGCTGTGAGTCATTCATAGTTGGAATTAGCTGAGCAAGTTACCTTAGTCAAAATATTCACCTATGGGGGTTTCTCAAAGCCTGGAACCGAACAGGTGAGAGTGGAACTCAGAGGTGGTTTAAATAGGAACGGGGATGTGTGGTGGGACCATATGGCACTGGTGGAGACACAGAGCTCGTGCTTTCTCTGCAGCATTTTTGGCTACCTTGGATCTGTTCAGCTCCTTGCACTTGTTCCACATGCCAGGAAACAGGGTTATGTAAACTCTGTCCTCCAGTAGCAGTGAGGCAAATGCTTTTTCTTTAGAAAAGTCTTTCCCAGAGTGCTCCTCTGCAGCACTTCACACCTGGGAGTGCATTTAGGAGCTTTTGCCCCTCAGACCCTCAGCAGCAGCCCTGGTGTTTGTGAGGAGTTAGACAGATGAGTCCTGGAACAGGGAATTCCAGGGATGAGGAGCTGAAAGTACCTGTGGGTCACTTGTTCCATGGGGTGGGACCAGTGGTGGCATCATGGACAATCCCTGTAATTATTCCCTGGAGAGGTAACTGCCTCTCTGGCCATAGCTTTCACTCCCATGGAATGAAAATTCAGTAAAAATTCTCCTGAGAGTCCAGCTCAAATCCCAACCTTTATTTTATTCCTACAGAATAGAAGCCCTTGAATTCCTGGATGAAAAGGAACTGTTTGAACAGCTGATGCAGCACTACTGCATCTGCTGGGCTTCCAAGGACAGCAGCAACCTGGGTAAGGTTCTGCAGCACCTGGGGGTGATCCTGCCATGGAAATGTGCCGAGGGAGGGCTGGGTGGGTGTTACACCAGGTACCTCAGAGCCCCCTGTTCCAGGGCTGGGTGGGTGTTATTTACACCAGGTACCTCAGAGCCCCCTGTTCCAGGGCTGCTGCTGCTCCATCCCTGGGCTGGCAGCACCTCCCAGCTGGGCGTTGTTCCTCCACAGCCTCTGGAGGATTTATGGGCACCCAAGTGGGAAGCCTGTCCAGCAGAGGGGAGTTGGAATTTTCCCACCAGAAGATGCCGTATGGGTTACTTTAAATAACTGCCTGCTTTATCCCATCAGTGCTAATTGAAAGGTTTACAAATCCCATGCATGGGAAGTGCCATATGGGCACACGGTATATGAAGGCACAGTGTCCTGACAACACAAAAATAAATTTGTATTACTTATCCCAGGCTTCTCTGCACTGTCCCCATTTGCAGCCATCTGACACTGAAGTTTTCCACGCCGCTTTCTCCCTGGGGAAAATGTTCCCTCTGAAATGAACTCCTCTACCTGTTCCTTTAGTTCTTAAAATTCTGTCTCTCCTGGGCTGGAATTTCTGTGGAAGAGAGAGACTTGATTTAGGCTTTCTGGATGTTGCTGCTGCTCAAGAAGTGATAAAATGAGGGAAATTGTTGCTTGGCTGAACTATGGATGGCCACAGCCTGTATTTGTCCAGACTAGAAAGATAGCTCTGTTGCAGTCACAGTTTATCTCTTCTGGCTGCAATTTCAGGGACTTCAGTCTTTGCAGAAAAACTCTGCCTGCCACTTCTGTCAGTGCCTCCCCTTCATCCTCTCTGCCCTTTCCCTGCTCCTGACAGAGTATCCAAGAGCAGATTTTATTTATTGACTGTTCCTCAGCAAATGGGAATAGATTTGGTCTCTGCAGCCTGGCTGGGCAGCAAAGCCTCTGACAGAGCTGCTAAGAGGAGATCTTCAAATAAAAACTGGTGAAGGAGCTCTTTGACAGCCTGGTGCTGCTGCTGTGACAGAGCTGCTGCTGGTGGTGCTCTCCTGAGTCCTCCAGAGTTCTGAGCTCAACATCCCCATGTTCTACATTGGATTTCTGCAGCTGAAAAGTGCTGACTGTCACACACAACCTGTTTTTGGAGGAGCTGAGGCCCAGAAGTTCACCTGTTCATAGCAGCCCCAGTTTTGGAGTGCCAGCATTGTTCTTTGCTGTGATTAGAGGAAGGGCAGTCTGGGGTGCTGAGGTATCTTAGGGTTACAAAACCCAGTAATCTCAAAAGGATCATCCAGTGTCCAGTGGACCTGTGTGGGTATGCCTTCATCTAAAGCAGGGCTTTTTTATCCACTGTGAATTTGCTGCCCTCATTAATGGTACTTTCTCCTGCTTTATCTTCCTGATTTCATGGGCAGACCCTGAGGTTCCTGAACATTTTGTTGTCCCTTCTGCCATGAATAATTCCAGTGCTCCTGCAAATTGACTTCATCAAATGAATTGCTGCATCACAATCAAAACAGGGTTAAAAAGTACAGCCCAACCTGTTTCCTGCTTTCCTCACTCCAAATCCTTTATGTTTAAGTCTAAAAAAATGAAATAGCTCTGAAAGCACCTTTCTTGCTGTGTGTAAGTGACCTGGGTGCAGGGAGGGCAGGAACAAACCCTCCTTTCTTGCCCCAGATCCCTGTTTCTCTTCACACAGGTCTGGCAAACATCGACTTCTGAGGGCTGCAGCAGGGAGCCCTGCAGAGCTGGGGCTCGGGCCAGGACATGGAGAGGATGGCATTGGCACTGCCAGCCCCGGGCTGTGCCTGGGACACTCCTGGTGCTGCTGGGGACGGGCCTGGTGCCTCTGGGTGGATTCAGGAGCATCTCCTGTGAGCAGGACCTGCCTCCCGCTCCCAGCCCTGCGCGGGGGACTCGCACAAGGTGTCAGTAACTCCTGTTCAGAGCTTGCCTTCCTTAGTTCAAACTGAAAGTAAAGTGTTCTTGGGTTCTGTGATTTCCCTCTTGTGTGTGTTTGTGGCTGTGTAACACGTGTTTGTGGCAGGAGCCTGGGGAGCTGCAGCAGGGGGTGGCTGAGCAGGAGTTTGGGCATTTTTGGTCTCTTCAGGTCTAATTTGGATGAAGTGTCACCGTGTCAGCTTCTCCAGGCTTCAGTGACAATGCTGTCACTGCTGGGGATTCTCGGAGGGGAAGGCTGGAGGAGAAAGAGGGCCCTGACTGTGGTCAGTGATGTACAAGAAACTGGAAAATAGACTCAATTTAACTGGGAAGGGCTTAGCTTGTGGTTTCGGCACTGGCATGCTGAAGAAAGAAATTAATCTCAATTTGCACTGCTTCTGGTAGTATCTTTACACCAGTTCCTCCTTCTCTTTCCCCTTAAAAGAAGCAAAACAAAATCCCAACAGCAATGAAAGCCCTTGTCCTGTCATTTGAAATTGAATCTTGCAACCTTCCTATGAGAAACAGAATAAATGTTTAGTATTTATAATTTGTCTCCTGTCTTACTTGCTAGAAATGACCGGTTTCTATCTCATTTAGGGACATTTTTCCTCTTGCCCAATGCCTCACCAGGAGTATTTTTTTTAAGCAATTGCTGGCAGGCCCAGAGCAGCCGTGGCTGCCCTGGATCCCTGGAGTGTCCCAGACCAGGCTGGTCAGGGCTGGGAGCAGCCTGGGGCAGGGAAAGGTGTCCCTGCCATGGCCGGGGTGGCACTGGGTGGGATTTAGGGTCCCTCCAGCCCATTCTGAGATCCTGTGAAATGCTCTTTCATTCAGGGACTAGAACTGAACCCAGACCCCAGCCCTACAACCCCTGTGCACTGCAGGGCCCTTCGGAGCAATCACTGGTGCCCGGAGGCACCAACGCTGCCCTGCTCATTTCTTGGGAATTAAATGAGTGCAGTGTTGTGTGAAAGCCATCTCTACTCTCAGTTTAATTCTGTCCCTTTGGGACGTTGTTCCCTGAGCCTCCTGCAGCCCCTTTCTGAGCGGAGCCCAGCTGCAGTTGCAGCTGGGAGATGCAGATGTGTTCTTTGGAGCTGCTCCCTGCTGGGACCCACACCCTGAGCTGCTGCATTTCTCATCTCTGGGCTTGGAGCACAGCTCGCTGCAGGGCTGTCCTGGGCTCCAGCAGCCTTTGGTGTCTTTCTTGTCATTGTTTCATCCCTCTGTGTTTGGGAGTGATGTCTGTGCTGGCATGAGGCAGATGCTGGTGCTCCTCAGTCCTGTTTGGGGTGCCTGTGCAATATGTGGCCCTGCAGTGTCCCTGCTGCCCTGGCATGGGGGCAGCACGGTGCCCCTGCCCTGCTGCAGCCTCCTCTGCCCTATCCAGCTGGGAGAGGGGGGATGCTCCTGCCAGGCTCTGCAGCCTCTGCTCGCTGCTGCAGCGCTGGGGAGGGAATTGGGTCACCCCGGGGTCCCAGCAGCTCCAAAGGGGCGCTGGGTGGTCCCTGGCACTGCTGGGGAGGACAGGGTGGGCTGTGCTGGACTGAGAAACCCTTCAGCTCTCCAGGGAGTGTCTGGGTGGTGCTGGGAAGTGCCGGCTCAGGAAGCTCCTCCAGGCAGGAGAGCTTCCAGTGCTCTGCCTTCTGCTGCTGCTCCCTGGGCTGGCTGAGCCCTGCTGTGCCCTGGCTCTCTGCCTCCTGCCCCAGCCTGGCCTTTTTCCTGGGGGCTGCTACTGATGGGGCAGCAGAATCCATCTCTGAGAGTCCCGGAATGGTTCAGACTGGAAGGAGCCTTTAAAGCCCCTCAGTGCCACCCCTGCCATGGCAGGGACACCTCCCACTGTCCCAGGCTGCTCCAAACCCCAATGTCCAGCCTGGCCTGGGGCACTGCCAGGGATCCAGGGGCAGCCACAGCTGCTCTGGGCACCTGTGCCAGGGCTGCCCACCCTCCCAGGGAGGCTGGAGAGGAGCCGTGCTGGGATGGGCTCCCCAGAATGGGGAATGCAATGGGAGGCTTTGCTCAGGACACAGGTCCCGTGTCCCTGGCAGTGCCAGTGACTGTTCCAGCAGGAGCCAGGAGCTCCTCGTGCCCACACAGTCCTGGCTGTGGGTCCTTGCTGTGGGTGCTGGCCCTGCCCTGAGCTGTGCCACCCTCGTCACCCATCCCTGGGCATTGCCTGCTCGCTCTTCACAGACTCACACCAGCAGTTGCCTTCCAGGACATGAAATTATTTCACTGGCAGGGCTTGCCCAGCTTCAGGAGCTGAATGGAAAGCAGGGCTGGGCTCAGTGCACGGTGTTTCAGCCCCTCTGCAGAGTTACCATCCCCATTTCCAGTCTGCAGTTTTTCAGGGCTGCTGGGGCACAGAGAATGGTTATTGAGGATGGAAATGTGGGGGGGCTGCCAGGATAGCCAGGGCCAGGTCATTGCAGGGAAGATGTGCAGGGCTGTGTGGGACCAGGAGCATCCGTCCCTTCTGTGGGATCTTGGTGCATTTTAATGCTAAGCAGCAGAATTAAGAATGTGAAATGGCAGAATTAAGGTCTGAATGGCTTCATCCTACCCGGGTGGTGATTTCCCCAGCTCAAACAGCAGCCTGGGCTGCAGCACTGACACAAATCCGTCCCTGCTCTCCCCCAGGCAATGCTCAGCCTGCCTTGGGGATCCCTGGAAATTTCCATCTGCGCTGAGGCAGCGCCTGGGAGCAAAACTCTTACACAAGGTGGGCTCTGTGCAGGGGCAGAGGTCACCTCACCTGTGCCACAGCTGCAAATCATTCTGCAAGTTCTCTGCAAGCCCAGTTGTGTAATCTGGGCACTCCGAGATAAATGAGGGAAGATAAGGCAGTGTCAGAGGAGCTGCTCTGATTCTTTATGGCTTTTTAGGAGAGCTGACCCCCACGCTGGGTGTGCCAGGGTCTTTCCTTGCAGCACCACATTGAGCAGCACCAGAATACTTGAGAATAACTTTTTTATAGGTACCAGCTGGAATTCTGGTCTTTAAAACGTACCAGCATCAATCCACAGGGAGCACTTGAAGCATTTCAAGAGCATGGAGTGACAGGAAAAAGGGGAATTAATTAAAACTGACAGGAGGTTTAGACTCCATTTTAGGATGAGATTATTCCATGGGAGGGTGGGGAGACCCTGGCACGGGTGGGTTTCAGTGTCCCCTCCAACCCAAACCAGTCTGGGTTCTGTGACTGAGTGTTAACGGTATTTCATGATGTCCTTTAGTGTCTGCCCAAGTGTTTTTTGCAGTTTGGGTGGTTCGGGTTGGAAGGGACATTAAAAATCCTCCAACCCTCAAATCTGTTTTCTCTACAGCCCCTCATTTGAGTGTTTTTTGTGTGGAAAAGCAAAGGAAAGGTGGCAGATCTGCAGGGTGAAATGAGGAGAGGAGTGGAACACAGGGGGTGGATGAAGTGGGGGTGTTCTGCTCTCCTGCCCAGGTAGATGGATGAGGGAGACATTTCTGTGATTCCTAAAAACCATTTTTGGAACCTCGGCTCGTTTGGTGCCACCACTTCCTGCACTAATTGACACAGTTGCTATTGTCACTTATCTAACAAATCAGTGCAAGCCCAAACAAGGACAAAAATAAGTGTCTGCTGATAGGAACAGATTTATCTGTTCTCATCCCCACGCCTTTTCCCACGGGCAGAGTTTCCGTGTGTCTCGCTGAGCCAACCTTGGTGCTGAGGATTCCCCTCTGCCGGATCGGGCTCTGCCCCGTGTGCTGGGGCACCTCTGGGGAGGCAGAGCTGTGCCCAGCGAGGGAACCCTTCCCTCCTGCTCTGCTTCTGTCCCTCCAGGCTGTGCTCAGCAGTGCCTGCTGCCTCTGTGCCTGGATGGAGCATTTCCTGCGGCAAACATCCCCGCTCCCCCGAGTGGTAAATGTTTAAAAGCCAAGGACAGGGGGTTAATCCTTGGGCTGTGACCTTGCCGGGCTCTGAAGCCACCACTGAGGTGGGACACAGAGCACGGGCACAGTGGCACCGCCCTGGGCAGCTCCTGGGCCAGGAGCACCCAGCAGCACCCTGGGGTGGCCACTGGCTGCCTTTGCCCTGGCCAGGGAGGTGTCCTGAAGGATGCTGGTGTCACCCTTGTGCTGGTGTCACCTGTGTGCTGGTGGCACCCATGTGCTGGTGGCACCCATATGCTGGTGGCACCCATGTGATGGTGGCTCTGGGGATCTCGGGTCTAGGGTCTGGGATCTGGGGTCTGGGATGTGACATCTGGGGTCAGAGATCTGGGATCTGGGGTCTGGGATCTGAGATCTGAGGTCTGGGACCTGGGGTCTGGGTCTGGGATCTGCGATCTTGGATCTGGGGTCTGGGATCTCAGATCTGGGATCTGGGTCTGGGATCTGGGGTCTGGGGTCTGGGGTCTGGGTCTGGCACAGCCCAGCTCCTGGCAGCGCCTGTGTGGTGCCGTGGGAGCCGCTGTGAGAAGCACCAGCTGAAATCTGGGTATGTGTTACGTTGGTCTCTCATATAAGTACCCCAAAAATAAATGAAATGTGGATTCCTTCGGCCCGAGTTCAGTTTCTCCCCAAGGCAGACTCGGCTGGTCGTGCTGGGAGCCGAGGGGACAGAAGGGCACCATGGACCCGTGGGAAGCTGCCCCTGACAGGCTGAGTCAGGTATTGCCCTGTCCCACAGGTCTGGGGGTTCATGGGAGCCCCAAAGGCCAGCAGGCCCAGCTCCCTCTCTCTCTCCACACCCCAGTGATGCCACAGGCTGGTGCCCAGAGATCCTGGCTGTAGGAAGCAGCTCTGGGGGGGAAATGGGCAGCGGAGGCTCATTTTGAGGTGCCTTTGCTGGGTTCTCCTGCCTGACCCCTGTCTGTGCTGCAGCCACAGGGACAGGCCAGTGGAAATTTCCTTCCATCCCCAGCGCCGTGTGACAGCACCATAAACACGGTGGCGTTCCTGCAGAAGGGTTCCTATCAGCCCAAGCCTCAGGAGGCTGCTCAGGGCTGCAGGACCCATCCCTGCGGGGCTGGGCTGATCCCTGCTGCAGGTGGGCACGTTCTGCTGCTCCAGAGCTGCACTGGGATCGCCCCGTGCCCGTCACTGGCTGGGTGATCGCTGGTCCCTCACCAGGAGCACTCCAGAGATCAGCCCTGGATTCCTTCAGCCCCTCAGGGGAGCCCTGGCTGCTCCTGCTGGAGCTGGGAGCTGCTGCTGCCTGGGGGTGCCCCTGTTCCCCTGCCCTGGCTGAATCTGCTGTGCCAGGCAGTGATCCCTGCTGGGATGAGGAGGATTTTGGGAGGGTTTCATCAGTGTTTGAGCAATGCCAGCTTTTGCAGTGCCTGCTGGATCCTTTGGCACCCTCACCTGCATCTTTATCTGAGGGCAAGAGGGACGTGAGCCCCCTGCCCTGGATGCCCGGGCAGGTTTGGGCTGAGGTTTGCAGGAATTGTGACTGATGGTGCTCGCTCACAGCTGGGCAGGCCTGGCACCGGTGCCCAGAGCAGTGTGGCTCCCTTGGAAGTGTCCCAGGCCAGGCTGGACGGGGACAGGGGAAGGTGTCCCTGCCCAGAGGGGGTGGCACTGGGTGGTCTGGTTCCCTGGAGCTCCCTTCCCCCCCGAACCAGCCCGGGGTTCTGGGGGAGCATCAGCCCTTACCCTCGGTGCCTCCAACAGGCACAGGGGCCCCAGGGCTGGGCACAGGTGCCACACTCCAGGTGTGCAGGGCAGGAAGCACATCCTGAATCCTGACACAACCCCCCCAAACCACACCACCAACAGCAACAAAGATCCGAGGGAAAAATCCCCAAGCCTTGAAGCGAGGCTTGGCAGGTGATAACGAGCTTTGATATCGCTGGGGGCCGGCCCAACAGCTTTTATGACCCCTTTTTTTTCCCTTAGCAATGCAAATCCAATCTGTATTTAGGGCCTCCCCTCCAGAGCTGCCTCCCAGACAGTCAGGGGGAGCCTGGCAGCCTCTCGGGGTCCTGCACAGCACAGCCAGGCTGTGTCCTCAGCATCCCCAGCCATGCCCTGAGCCGGTCCCTGTGCCCCAGCCGTGCCCTGGGCTGGTCCCCATGCCCCAGCCATGCCCTGTGCTCCCGTGCCCGCCGCAGGACGTGATGGACATGGATGATGCCAAGCCCTCGGCCCCGCGGCCGCGCTGGTACCAGCGGTGTGTGCCGCCCTGCGTGGCCGAGCTGCTGGGCACTGCCCTCTTCGTCTTCCTGGGCTGCCTGTCGGTGCTGGAGGACTCGGGGGGCACGGGCCGGCTGCAGCCCGCCCTGGCACACGGGCTGGCCCTGGGCGTCGCCGTGGCCGTGCTGGGGGACATCAGGTAAGGGACAGCGAGCGCCCCTGGGCTGCGGCAGGACCGGGAGCTGCTCCCACCCTCCCCTGCCCAAACCCGGCGCCCTCAGCACCCCTGCCTTGCCATGGAGCCCCTGGTGGGCGGCGTGGCCCTTTGGGGGTGGTGGCATCAGTGGTGGCATCTTTGGTGGCACCCACGTCACTGTGGGTTTGGGGCTGCTCACCTGTCTCACATCGCAGCACTTCAATTTTTAGCCCCTTTTCATAAAAATGCTCAAGCTGGAACGGGAGCGTTCTCCTCTGGGAGTTGGAGATATTTAAGGGCCCTCCCAGCCCAAAGCGTTCTGTGATTTTATGATTCTCTGTGAAGCTGAGATGACTCCTTTTACAAGGATGTCAGAGCAAAACATTTTGACCCAACTGTGCTCCTCCTCTGGGTATTTTCAGGTGGGGAAAAAAAAAGGGGAGGTTTCAATTACTCAAAAGCAACTTTTAGAAGATCTGCTCATTGAAAACGCTGTTGTGTGGCGCTGAGATGCAGATTTATCACCGGGGAAGATGCTGAAAGGGTCCCTGGGAGTTTCATTCCCTCCCCTGTGCCAGCTGCACACACCTGGGGTCCCGGAGCCCAGGGCAGTGGGATGGAAATGCAGCCGTGCCCGGCAGGAGGGAGAAGGGCCCAGGGTGGGGTTGGTGCACTGGGGACTCCTGACCCACGGTGCCCGTGCCAGGTCCTGCTGCACCCCAAACCCGGGACAGCAGCACAGGGGAGCTTCAGGTGAGGGGCTGCAGCTCCACACTGAGTCCTGACATGGTTTGGATTAGAGAGGAGCTGAAATCCCTCCAGTGCCACCCCTGCCATGGCAGGGACACCTCCCACTGCCCCAGGCTGCTCCAAGCCCTGTCCAGCCTGGCCTTGGGCACTGCCAGGGGTCCAGGGGCAGCCCCAGCTGCTCTGGGCACTCTGTGCCAGGGCTGCCCACCCTGCCAGGGAAAGATTGAGCCCTGGGGAAGGCTGCCCAGGGAAGGATTGAGCGCAGGGAGGGGGGAGAGGGGCCCTGCTCGGGAGGGGTTCCCATTCAGGCTGCTCCCCAGTGGGTTTGGGTGCAGCCAGGTGCCCCCTGAGCCCAGGCTGGCCCCAGTGGGTTTGGGTGCAGCCAGGTGCCCCCTGAGCCCAGGCTGGCCCCAGTGGGTTTGGGTGCAGCCAGGTGCCCCCTGAGCCCAGGCTCCCCCCAGCCCTGGCACCAGCCCTGAGCAGCTCCTGCCCTCCTGGGCTCGGCTGAGCAGTCAGATGTGGTTCCTGCTCCCAGACTCTGTGACTCATCTCCAGCAATTATCAGCCTGATCAGTTATGAAACCTGCTCATTAACCTGTGTCTCATGGTAATCAGGATTAATTAGAGGGTCTCTCTGTCTGACTGGCTCGTGCTTTTGGAGGCGATTTAGCTCTGGTACCAGATTTAGGTCTGGTACCGAGGGCCCGGCCCAGCAGCCCCGCTCTGGTCCCTGCCTGCCTGGGGACGTGTGCCCTGCCAGGCTGTGCCAGCCCGGCACCCAGGCTGTGCCATCCCATCACCCAGGCTGTGCCATCCCATCACCCAGGCTGTGCCAGCCCCAGCAGCCAGGCTGTGCCATCCCATCAGCCAGGCTGTGCCATCCCATCACCCAGGCTGTGCCATCCCATCACCCAGGCTGTGCCAGCCCCAGCAGCCAGGCTGTGCTGGGCGATGCCCACTGATGCCCCTCTCTCCTCGGCAGCGGTGGTCACTTCAACCCCGCCGTGTCCCTGTGCGTGTGGCTGCTCGGGGGGCTCCGCAGGACCATGCTCATCCCCTACTGCCTCTGCCAGCTCTGCGGAGGGGTGATCGGAGCTGCCCTGGCAAAGGTACGGACCCGGGGTGGCACTGGGCACTGGGACTGTCCCTGCCCTGGCAAAGGTACAGACCCGGGGTGTCCCTGGGCATTGTCCCTGTCCTGGCAAAGGTACGGACCCGGGGTGTCCCTGGGCACTGTCCCTGCCCTGGCACAGCTGCCCTGGCCTCCCCAGCCCGCTGCGGGCTCTGGGGCCAGGCTCTGCTCTCCGGAGGTTCTCTGTGCCCTCTGTCTAAGGGGGCATGGCGGGCACCCACGCTGTCCCCGCAGGTGGTGGCACCGAGCGAGCGCTTCGCCAACGCCAGCGGAGGAGCGTTCGGGGGCACGGCGGCTGCCCGGGGGGTGCCCGCTGTCCTGGCGGCCGAGCTCCTCCTCAGCTCCTTCCTGCTCCTGGCGGCCTGTGCGGGACCCACCGAGGGCAGGAGCCGCGTCCCGCTGGCACCACTGGCACCGCTGGCACCGCTGGCACCGCTCCGCGCCGGGCTGGCCGCCACCGCTGGCATCCTGGCGGGGTGAGCCCGCTGTGCCCCTGTGCCCCTGTGTCCCTGTGCCCGCTGTGTCCCTGTGTCCCTGTGCCCCCTGTGCCGCTGTGTCCCTGTGTCCCTGTGCCCCTGTGCCCCTCTGCCCCTGTGCCCCTGTGCCCCTCTGCCCCTGTGCCCCTCTGCCCCTGTGCCCCTGTGCCCCTGTGCCCCTGTGCCCCTGTGCCCCTGTGCCTTTCGGTGCACCGGCCCGGGGCTGCTGGCACCGCCCGTCCCAGCACAGGGGGGTGCTGCTGCTCCGTGTCCCGCTGGGATGGCACAGCCTCGGTGTCCCCCGGGATGGCACAGCCTCGGTGTCCCTGGCAGGGGCGGTGTGTCCGGAGGCTGCATGAACCCCGCCCGCGCCTTCGGGCCGGCCCTGCTGGCGGACTGCTGGGACTACCACTGGGTGTACTGGGTGGCACCCATGGGCGCCGCGCTCCTCGTGGGGCTGCTGCTCAGGTAGGTGGCACCTGCAGTGGCACTGGGGCTGGCACCCTGCGAGCTGAGCCTCTCTGTGCCTGTGCTTGGCACTGGGACTGGCACCCTGCGGGCTCAGCCTCCCCGTGCCCTGTGTGCCCACCAGCCCGGGGCCGTTGCTGTCCCCGCGTCCTTGTTGTGTCCTTGCCAGGGCAGAAACGTGAGCCCGGATTTCTGTCTCTTTTCCCTCCCCAAAGGCTCCTGATGGGTGCCAGGCCACCCGCCTGCTCCTGAAGTGACAGCGGGCACAGTGCCCCGGCCGTGGGCAGCGGGGGCAGCCCAGCCCAGCCGGCGTGGAACCTCCTGGCACTGCTCCTTCCCCTTCCTCCTGCCCCCCTCGGTGTCCCCCTGGCACCCCGGGCCAGCCACGGCTGCCGTGCTGCTGGAGGGAGGATGGAGCCCGGCTCTGCCAGCCCTGCCACGGCAGCAACCCGCCGGGAGCATCCACTGACAGCTCCGTGGTGCCCCAGGGCGCTCTGGCACTGCCCGTGTGCCGCGTCTGAGCCCCAGAGCTGTGCCCGGGCACCCAGGGAGCCAGGGAGCCCTGTGCCCTCTGTGTGTGACCCCAGGGAGCCCTGTGCCCTCTGTGTGTGACCCCAGGGAGCCCTGTGCCCTCTGTGTGTGACCCCAGGGAGCCCTGTGCCCTCTGTGTGTGACCCCAGGGAGCCCTGTGCCCTCTGTGTGTGACCCCACACAGCCCTGTGCCCTCTGTGTGTGACCCCACACAGCCCCGTGCCCTCTGTGCCTGACCCCAGGGAGCCCTGTGCCCTCTGGGTGTGACCCCACAGAGCCCTGTGCCCTCTGTGTCTGACCCCACAGAGCCCTGTGCCCTCTGGGTGTGACCCCAGGGAGCCCTGTGCCCTCTGGGTGTGACCCTAGGGAGCCCTGTGCCCTCTGTGTGTGACCCCAGGGAGCCCTGTGCCCTCTGGGTGTGACCCCACACAGCCCTGTGCCCTCTGTGTGGGCACCACTGTCCCCCTCACCCTGGATGGTGCCCAGCAGCTCCTGCCCCATGATGCTGCCTCGGGGGTGGCAGGAGGGGGCTCTGGGGGCAGTGCTGCCCCTGGCCCCTGCGGGCACCGGGAGGGCACGGGGATGAGGCTCTCGCCCCGCTGCCAGCGTGGCCGTCCCTGCCGTGCCAGGGGAGGGCGGCGGCCGGGCTGGAGGGGGCTGCTCGGGGAGGGGGCACTGCCAGCGGCAGCAGAGGCAGCGGAAGGGGGGGATGGCGCTGTGTGGGCAGGGGGAGAGGAGCCAGCGCGGCAGCTTTGCGTCAGCCGGGCATCCCTGACTCATCCTGCGGCCCCCAGCCTCCCCCGGGGGTCCGTGGGGACCCCCCTGCCCTGGCACACGGGTGGCACCGCGGGCACCCCGGTGCCAGACAGGAGCACCCCGCGCTGCCCGGGTGAAGTCACGCCGGGTTTTGGGGAATGATGACCTGGGGGATGCCCGCTGCTCCCCAGCCCCGCTGCGGGCAGGGGCCGGGCTGGGCTCGGGCATCTCCCCGGGCAGCAGCGGGCACCCCGGGCAGGGCGGCTGCCTCCTCCCTGTCCCGCTGCTGGCTCTGCTGCCGCCGTGCCAGGGCAGCTCCAGTTGTCCCCTGGGGCTGGCAGGGCGCTGCCAATGTCACCTCGCTATTTTCAGCCCGTTTTCTATTTGCCACGCCGGGAGGTGCCCGGCGCGGGGGCACAGCGGGCACAGACGCGCTCCTAGAGAAGGGCGATGCCGCAGAGGTGCCGCAGTGAGGGAAGGCCGGGCACGGAGCATCCCTGGCGAGGGGCGCGTGGGCTGTGCCCCTCCCTGGGCAGCTGCCGGGGCTGGGCAGAGCCGGGAGAGCTGCCGGGAGCCCTGACCCTGACGCGGCTCAGCCGGGGAGGAGAACGGTGCAGCGACAAACAGCAGAAGATGTCACCGGACGGTTGTCGTGGCAACGCCACAAAAAACTGCCGAACCAAACATGGAATCGCTGCTTCCTCCCGAAGGGAGCCCGGGGGGCTGTGGGGACCCCTCCTCCGAAGGGAGCCCGGGGGGCTGTGGGGACCCCAGCGCGTCCCCGCCCCTGCTCGGGGCACGGCTCCGGTGGGAGCGGGGTGGGCCCCCGGGGCTCCCCCTTCCCCTGTCGGGGGGATGCTCTGCCCCGCAGGAAACGCGCTCGGCTGCGGCTGCGGCTGCCTCTGCTCGGGCAGGCTGCTGTCCCTGCACCCCGAACCCGTCCTGCACCCCGAATCCCTCCTGCACCCCAAACCCATCCTGCACCCCAAAGCCATCCTGCGCCATGGCTCCCTCCTGCACCCCAGACCCATCCTGCACCCCAGACCCATCCTGAGCCCCAAAGGCATCCTGAACCCCGAACCCGTCCTGCACCCCAAATCTATCCTGCACCCTGAACCCATCCTGCACCCTGAACCCATCCTGCACCCTGAATCCATCCTGCACCCCGAATCCATCCTGCACCCCGAATCCACCCTGCACCCCGAATCCATCCTGCACCCCGAATCCGTCCTGCACCCCGAATCCGTCCTGCACCCCAAAGCCATCCTGCACCCCAAATCCATCCTGCACCCTGAATCCATCCTGCACCCTGAATCCATCCTGCACCCCGAATCCATCCTGCACCCCAAACCCATCCTGCACCCCAAACCCATCCTGCGCCATGGCTCCCTCCTGCACCCCAGACCCATCCTGCACCCCAGACCCATCCTGAGCCCCAAAGGCATCCTGAACCCCAAACCCATCCTGCACCCCGAATCCATCCTGAACCCCAAACCCATCCTGCGCCCCGAATCCATCCTGCGCCCCAGACCCATCCCGCACCCCGATCCCTCCCGCCCCAGCTCCCCGCTGCACCCCGCTTCGCAGGCTCCTGTCCCCGGCGGCGCAGGGCAGGGGCTCTGCAGGCCCTGCAGGGCAGTGGTGCCACCGCCTGTCCCGCGGCAGGGGACAGCAGGGGACAGCAGGGGACAGCCCGTGCACGGCCTCGTGTGCTGATGTGTTGGGCACATTCCTCTGTCATTTGTCAGGGTGACTTTTGATAAAGCATCTGTAACACCACGTTGTTTTTCCTCGAGTTTTATTAAAGTGCTTGATTTATGCTAATTAAATACCAATTAACTTCGAAGCACTTAATGTGCTTTAAGGACATAAAATACATCTCATTCCCATTCAATTAAATTTGCATCAGGCCTGGACATGGGTCTGCACGGTGTTTTTATCAGCACATGGGTCTGCTGGGATGCTGCCCGGGGTTTTCCAGGTTCTTGGTGCCTGTTGGGGTGGGAAGGGTTCCCATGGGGTGCTCGGACATAAGGAGGTGAGGATCCTGCTGCCACGGGCAGTGCCAGGGTGGTCATTCTCTGATGAAGGCTGCAGAGGCACCAACCCTCGGCCCCTGCGTGCTGGAAGGTGCGATGGGCTCAGGGCACTTGGCACAGGTGCCAAAGGCTGCACGGGCACCAGGCACGTGCTGGCCCAGGTGCCACCAGCTGTGCCCGGTGCCAGCACACAGGGAAAACAATCAGGGTGCTGCAGAAGGACACCCAGCTCTTCCCTGTGCCTGCTGCTCACCCGCCCTCACTGCAGCCTGGGAAAGGATCGGCTCCCAGCGTGTTCCCTGCCCAGTGCTGCCTTCCTTCAGCAGGGCTGCAGGGGCCTGGCAGCGTGCTCCCCCAAAGCCTGGTGCTAAAATAGCACAGGCAGCACCCTGAGGGTGCCAGGGGTGTGGCTGGGGGGGCAGGATGGAAGAACACTTTTAAACGTGCCCCGAGAGGGCATCTGGGAATTCTCCTGTTGCTGGGCTCCAAAGGCTTTCTGCAGCTGGAGAAATCAAAGCAAAGGGCTGAAGGAATCCTTTCAGCCGTGGCTGCAGGGGGTGAGGCCGAGCTCCCATCTCTGGTGCTGTGCCAGCCCGGTGCCGCGGGGCTCCCAGGGGTGCTCCCCGGGCCGGGTGGCAGCGTGGGCAGGGCACGGGGGACAGCGGAGGTGGGGATGACGCGCGGAGCAGCTCTGCGCGTGAGTGGCATCTGCATGTAGGAGCTGGGAGCGAGGCGATGCGGGAGTGGGAGTGGGGATGGCATCCTGGGGAAGCTGCGGCAGCCGTGCCAGGCTGGGGACGGGCTCCTGCCCGCCGGGCCTGGCTGTGCCCGTGGGGCTGGCACCGGGCCCCGAGGCTGGGCGGCATCCCTCGCCACTGTGCCACCTCCCCGGTGGTGTGCCACGGCCCTCGACACTGGGACACGTCCCTGGCTGCTGTGCCATGTGCCTTGCTCCTGTGCCAAACCCCTCAGCACTGTCCCGTGTGTCCAGCACTGCCCCATGTCCCCAGCACTGCCCCGTGTCCCCAATACTGCCCCGTGTGCCCAGCACTGCCCCATGTCCCCAGCAGTGCCCCATGTCCCCCAGCCCCATGCCCGCTGTGGTCCCCAGACCCAAGCCCCGGGCCGGGCAGCCCCCCCAGGCTGTGCAGGACCCTGAGCACCAGCACAGCCCCACCACGTTCTGCCCCAGGCCCTCCTGCCGGAGGTCCTGCGGTGTTTCCCGGGCCGGGGGGACACTCCCAGCCCGGTGCTGCTGCGGGCCAGGCCGATCGGTGCCACTGCCACCGTTCCTGCTCTGCCATCTCCCTTCGGGCCTGGAGCAAGGCTGCTGGGAGGGGAGTGTGGGAAGAGGGGTTTTCTCCCCCCACCTCTCCTTCTGCTCGCTCCACGGATCTTTCATATCCTCCCATTGGCATCTCCCTGGAGAGCAGCTGGCACAGAGATGTCCCCGGGCACCCCCGGATCCCTGAGCCCCGTTCCCCCGGTGGAGGGGGAGCAGATCCCCACCCTCCCTGCTGACATCCAGCCTGGCTTCCCCGGCACCGGAGCTCCCTGTGCCCAGCGCTGCTGGAGCTGAAGGATTTACATTTTAAAGGGCTTTTAGAATGGATTTGCACAGACATTTATTTGCAAGTGTTATTGTTTTTTCAGCTTTTGCCACTTCGAATGTTTGTGG